GACGGTCAATGCCCTGTTCAAGTAAAACAAGACTTCAATATATGATTAAAATCATTGCAACTTACATTTTACAGGGGTATATCTAGTCACACTGTAATTAGGTTAGTTCTCTACTTCACATATCCAAACCGACCCACAGCATTTTTCAAAAGAAGAAATCCACCCATAGCAGATATTAAACCTCAGCTACATCAAGACCATTTTGGCTGATGTTGCTAATATCTTTCTATTGTTTAGGAAAGATAGAGCTATGAGGCAGGCATCTGGCGGAACTGATATTTTTCACCTAAAAAACCCAGCGTAAGCGCTGAGATCTTCTGATAGAAGTTCTACTGTTCCTTTTTGTTACAAGTTTAAGAATGAGAGTAAAGGAACACTTCAGTTCCTCATGGTACAGAAACATCAACGGAATAGCATGGGGATATGCTGAAAACATCAGTGATAATGTATGTTCCCTTGGCTGCCCAAACAAGCAGAGTATCCAAAAATCATTTCCAAAAGCTGCCTCTCAGCTGAAATAAACCCATGCAGTCATTCATCTCTGCAACTAACTGCATTAAAAGGGAGAGCAACTAGAGAGAAGAAAAATTGAAAAAAAACCTTCATTGCATTGTAGCTGTTGACATGTGAACCACGTCCCTTTGTCAGACATACCTTTGAGTTTGTTGTGTTCTGAGTCAGCTGGGAAGAGAGAGTCTGGAAAAAGTTTGGGGAAAGTGAGGCCAGCATACTTGGGTCTGTTCTCAACGTAGTTCCGTACTGTTGGCTGCAGCTTCTTCATGAATTCTGGACAGGGTGTTCCCAGCTGCTCAATAACTTTATTCCACTGATCAATATCTGAACATCAGTAGTTAAGGAAAACAAAACACAAACCCCAGTGTAGTCTCCTGACATTTCTGTTTAAGTGTTCTCTGGGAATCCTCAGAGGTGTTTAATTCCCTTCATAACACCTTTACAGTCACTATCTTTTTTCGTCATTACGCCTCCAGGTCCTACAGCCTGCAAAGGGCAAAACTTTCTCTCACAACTATACTTACTTGAGGGCATTGTGCAATCCTAAAACCACCACCACCACAGGAAAATACACAGCTTCCTCTCTTTGGGTCAACACTTGTTACCTTTTTTATTTTTAGCTTGCAATCCAATGACTTGCACTCCCTTTTTTTTTTACATGCAGGTAATTGCCTCTATGTCACCTTGGCTGCACAGGCACAGCAGGGAAGAATGACATGTTCACCCGCCCTCTCTATTCAGTCTGTGGAGAGTGAGACCCAGCTGGCTCAGAGGAGTTCTGCACAGAACAGAAGTCACCTTCAACTCATCTGCTTCGCACTTGTATGTTTACTCTCTCCAATAACTTTATTGGTGCTAATTTGCTAAAATCACCCAACCAGTAACCCCTCAAAAGCAATTCATTTGATTTTACAAGAATGTGCTTGTAAATGACAAATGATGCCTCAGGTATAGACAGATGTTTCTTTTTAACTGCAAATGTGACAGCTACATTCCTAAACTGTTACTGACTAATAAGAAAGAGGCTCTTATGCTTAAAAAGAAATTGTATTACAGGCAATTTGTACTGAGCACTTTTTTTGTTTTGATGTTGATTTTTTTAGTTTTCTTGAGATAAGAATTAGGCATCTGATAGGTGTTATGTAGCTCTTCCAGCCATGTTCAGAACAAGCCTTACTGTGCCAAAAAAAAAAAAAAAAAAAAGCAAACGTCTATAAAATCAGCATCATCTCTACATCATACTGTTTAATTCGCAGTGCTAAGAATCTGGTGACAACATAAAAAAAAAAAGAAAAGGAAAAGTACATGCAGCCATGGGTACATTGATGCTAAGAAATGTGATGAAGGGAGTTTCATTAAGAACATACTGGAAATAAAAAGCTTTTAAAAGACAAACATTCAAAGCATTTCAACACAGAGGTTTTTTTTTTTTTTAAATTGTTCTTCTAAGTTATTATTTGAGTGTCATAAGTGTGGAGGAGTTTCCCAAATACTAAAGACAGTTCCTCACAATCTAGGAGAGAGATCAGGTCAACAGAATGAAGATAACAAGAAAAAAAAAGAAAATAGTCAGGCAAAAACCAGCTCTTTGGTGCAGTAGCAATTTCAGATTTTCAAAAAAGTATTTTAGTTTAGGGAAATGGAAACAGTATTTTCACAGACCTTGAAAATTCAAGACAGACTTAATTTGAGTTTACCTGAACTGTCTTATTTGAACAAAAATCAAATAACTCATTTAAAAATTGAAGCTTTATCAATAAAAAGTGTTTAAAGGAATGAAAACAATTTAAACATGTGCTTTAAGAATGCTGAAACAGTCTTTTGAATGGTTTTAATTTCAACTGAAAAAGGTTGCTAGAAATAGCGGTGGTCTGTAAGGATTTTTCTGAATAACTTTAATTTTTTAAACTAAATCAAAGATTTATTTAGAACAATCCCTCCCACACACACACTCTATAGGTTGTATGTATCTTATGTTGTCTGTGAAAAATACCATTTTCTCAACAGAAAACTAAAGAATTGCAACAACAGTAAAGTTATCCAAGACTATAGCTGCTCAAAGAGTAGCCTAAATATTTCATTAAACATTTTATTAGAAAATAAAGTGTTTTGACATTTTAAACTTATATTGAAGTTAACACACATCACTGCTGGCTGGACTATTTCAGAAGCAGGTCTTTCTGAGAAACTTGAAAATATAGAGTGTGTATATGGTTTGCAGAGAAGAACAGAGAACACAGAAATGAAGGTGCTGTTAGTTGTGCCAAGAGAAGCTAAATGGATGAGAAAGCCAAGCTACAAAAGCATCACTGGAAGCATTACCTGTGCAGATTGAGTGAGGGCCATTTGATAAACAGGGGAGGCCAAATACAGGACTTGCTTCAAAGCAGGCATCGGACGCTTACGCTTGTACAGAGCAGGTTAACCATCTCTCAGGCACTTAATGAAAAGGAGAGAGATCTTTGGGATTACAGAATGTTGTGGGACTTGGACATGTTGAGAGGGAAGATGTAGTAAGATGCTCTGGATATGTGTGACAAGGGAAAAAGAGTAAAAAAAGATCCCAGAAAAGGGCCTACATGGTGGGAACCAGTGTCAGCGGGGATGGAGGGGGGAGAAGGAGAATCCTCAGACAACAAGGCCACTGCCTGCTGCACACATTTCTCCTAAGATGACAGAAAGGCTCTCACTGAGAGACAACAGACAAGGAGGCCTTCACCCATGACTGGAAGATTTTAGGAGATGGAAGAAGCTTCATCAGTCATCAGTACAAAGACAAGAGCCAAAGCCAAGGGAGCTGGCAGAGCCACCATGTTCCGCTCCTTGACTAGTATTGATTTGCAGGAGGACAGCACTGGAGCTTTTGCAGCCCTGGCTTGCACCAAGGGCCAGAAATGTCAGGCTTTACATCACAGCAACTTCAGGGACTGGTTTTGAGTAACTGAATGATCTGAATAGATAAACATGCTTCTTTACCATATTATTTCTGACTTAGGTTGCTCAAATACTGCCAAAACCCTTAAATAAAATATATTCATTAGTTCTTTTTATATATATATGTCTGTACACATGCACACAAATTGACGTGATGGAGCACTTGGGACCTGTTTTTGTCCTAATAATAGCAATAGCAAAACCAGGCCCAGCGAGAACAGGAGGAAGCACACCATTTTTCAGTCAGATGGACACACACATTTTCTCTCTAGTATTGTTTCTCCATTTACCTAGGCCTTACTAGCATTGGATTATATTCTGAGGTCCAATACATGAAAACATGCAAGAATGTAATAAAGTTCTTGCTGATTACTGGTCTGGCTCCATTTCATTGTTACACTTTATACAGTCACCGGTTGTAATGCATCTGTGGTGCACTTGCCGATAAGAGGTTGTACCCATCATGGTGAGATTAAAAAAAAAAGTTTTGAGAAAAATCTGAGGTCTACTTATTGATGCAAAGAGAAGAAGCTTTCTCCAGCTGGCAGTCAGAATTAACTTCAGAAATTGTGCAGAAAACAAATGTTACTATAGAACACTCCTAATATGAATCAAAACCTACTGTAGGTTACATTAGCCAATGAGTGATTGTGACTACAGATGTTATTTGCACACCAACTGAAAAAAACAGTACTATGAGTTAATGATCACATAACTCTGACAGAAATTGCCCAGGCCAAAAGAGATTAACCTGTATTTGAGTGAAAAAAAAAAAGAAAAACTTCTGCTAACAGAAGACCCTGTTTTTTCCCTTGAAATTAAGCAAATGTTGGACAGACTGGAAATTAGAAAGAATTACAACCCAAAAATCTGGAATATGATGAAATGTCTGCTTTAAAGCTATTTGAATCAACTCAGCTGTCCCTTGCCCCAAACAGGATCAAGGAAAATGTGTCAACCATACACAATAGCATCTGTATGACTTAAGACAGAAGAAGGGTTCTAACCTGGATTTATTAGTTTGTCCCTGGCACTACCACTGTGGCATTTTTACTAACATTAAGATGGCCATACAAAGTTACAGCAAAGAAATTTATTTAAGAAAACAGTTCTAAAATGTATATCTTTTGAATGAAGATTTTTCATCAAGTAAGGCCTCAGGTTGCCTTGAGCTTCCCAACCACCTTTTCTCTTTGCACTGTAATACTGTCTGAATGATTGTTCTCCTTTGCTTTCTAAATACTTAGTTATTTACTTGGAAAATATCCAGAATCTGAACTGCAGATTAAGAGACATGTTTTTCTAAAGCAAATGCACAAAATTTATAATGGGAAAATAATATTTTGAATGCACAAGAAAGTATTTCTATTGGAAAAATCAGCTTTCACAGTGAAGTCATCTATTTAGAGGTACAGGCTGAAAGTTTACCATTACTTTTGTTTCTGTTCCCATTGATGCAATGTGTGCATTGGTGCAAAGTATTTCAGAAGTGTGAATTAAGGACCATGGTTTTGTTCCTTCAGATGGCCTGCAGACTTCAGTTAAATTACATTTCTACAAATATTCAAACAACGAAGGAAATGGAGCTTGGCTATAAGGGAAAACTTACAATACTTCTCTGTCTTAATCAGAAAATATTAAAAGCATTTCTGCAGTTGCACAAATTAATAGCTTGTGATTAAAAAAATGAAATTTAGACAGCAAATTATTGTCTTTGTACTTAAGCTAGCTAACCTCAAAATGGCAATAAGTTTTCTTTTACCTTCTCAGGATTTGCTCTTTCTGGCTAAACATGCTCCTTCTGGTGATGGTTGGGAGTAGGGCATGCCAAATCTTGCTTTTTTTAAGGTAGGCACAACAAAACCAAAATGGACATGGAGCTGTTCCTTAATAACAGGCAGACATGGTTAGTTCATCTCTTTTCAATCTCAAAATCTTAAGGGAACCACCTTTCTGATAGTTTTCTCATTAAATGTGCATGTTCCACCAACAAAAACTAACTGCATTGCTTTGGGTACAAATTTTTGATGCTCCTAACTTGTCAAAATTAGAATAATTACTATGAGCAGCTCTGTATTTCCCTCCCTAACACCAAATTGCTGCACCAACTGTAAAGTTGATAGCTCAACTCATTTTCTTTTTTTTTAAACTGGACCTTTTTTTAAAAATAAATCTGCTAATGTAAAACATAACTAACCAACTTCATTGTGGGAGACATCAGTGTCAGATACGTATTTTTTCCACAGTCCCATAATTTACACACTGATGTCAACACAGCTTACAAAAAACACAAAAAAGAAATTGAAAATGCTAGCATCTGATGAGACAGCAAGTGTAGACCATTTTCTGTGCCAAGGTGAATGCTTTGAGAAGAACATGGCATTTGTAAAAATTAGGCCGTAACAGAAAATATTTTGCAACCTTAAGAACAGTAGTCGCTACTCACATGCTATAATAAAACATGTGGTGATGATAAAAATAACGTGTAGCACAAATAAAATTACTTCAAAAGAAGTGTTGGTTGTGTAGCTGTCATTAACCCTTTGGATGCATATCTATGATGACACCTTCACTAAAATTTTCAACTGCTATTTTTGTTTTAGCTGGCTCTTCATTCAGTTGCTGAGCATCTTTGCTCACACAGCAGCAAGCAAATCAGTGCTTAGTGAATAGTCCAGATATTGCAGCACAGGATTGCAATCTTGGCCTTGGATAAGTATTACCATTTCCCTCGTGGATGTCTCCTCACCACTGCAGTGTCTACTTGCAGTACTCCAGGCTGTTTCTAGGCTTCTAGAACCTTCTGCTGTGGTACACTTCTGTCTTTGTAACATGTATGACGATCATGTACCTAGCCTATGAGGCAGCCTATGAATGTTAGCATTATTAAATACCTTCTAAATGAACTGTAAAACTGTAAATAAAAATCCTATACCCCAATGTCTGTGACATGCATAACGTGGTTGCAGTTGTAGAATAAGGCTCTATAAGTGATGGCTTGTACAGCCATCTGTGATTTATACTAAGAGAGGCTGACATCATGCTAGCCTTACATCTCTCTATTGAATATATACTTGTCTCCCTAAGCATTCAGAATTTAAAGGCCCATTCTTCCTTCTCTGCCCAAAATGCATTCAGCAGTTTAAAAAAAAAAAATCCATGTATAACTACCACTTTCACAGCTCACCAGAGGACTAAGGCACCTTCTTAACTCTTTCAAATCATTTATGCAGTGGTGAGAAAACAGTAACAGTCTCCCTTATAAAATTTTGAGAAAAACACATGGAAGAGACAAGTCACAGGTACAGTCAGCTTTCCAAATTGCTCCTGAGGCAGCACAACAAACCGTGTTGCCGTTTTCTCCTTGCTCGAGGCACAAGTATATCCAAGCTTCATGATAATAGTTTCTCTATAAGCAGAACTACTGCTGTCAACCTTGAAAAGAAGTTTCATATAACATTTAAAAAAAAAAAAAGCTTTAGCTCACAATTAACTGCATCACATACATATACCAAAAATGGTAAAGAAATAGTAAAATTTCAAGGATCCATGGGGATTTTGGACACTGCAAAGTGTTCACTCACAACTGGAGTTTAAAAAAAGAATAGAGGTAGATTCTGTTCTCAGAAGCCATTTCAGTGAATTCAAATGGATTACAGGAGTGGAGCAGAGCTGCAGCCTAGCTAAGCACTCCGCTCCGTGCTTACTCAAAGGCATTTACTATTTATTTTCTTTCTTCATGACCATGTAAGATGGCTCTGTTTTGCTACAGAACTTGTTTCAGTTAGCTGAATGAACCATTTAGTTCTGTAAACAGAAACAGTATCAGATGACCTATACGCCTTAACCACTGGAAAATGCCAAATAGTAAATTTTGCAGTCAAATATATGACTGACAGTGCATTTTTCACAACTATTCAACCTTTCAAAACTGTTTTCCACAGTTATTTATGCATAAGAATTAACACAAATTAGTATTAAATACTCTCCAAATCACAGTGTGGTTGTGAAATGAAGCAATGCCTGTGAAGACAAAAATTGCTGATAGCAAATTCTGGTACGCTGCCAGTCTTAATCCATTTTACACACATTTTATGTTGAAGAGGAAGCTTTTTTTTTTTTTTTTAAAGAAACAGATTTCTAACTACTCTTGCTCCTTCTACACTTAAATACATCCTTAAGTATGCTGCCCTCAAGCTCTTAGGGCTCATAGTCCCTGCTGATGGAATTATACTGCCCAACTCCATCACACATCTGAAGAAATAACCTCTCTTAACAGAAACGCTAAGCATTTTCTATGCAGATTTAAGGAGGAAGATGCCACAAGGTCATCAACCTCAGCAGGCTGGGTCTGCCCTTGCAACTTTCTGACTGGTTTTGAGCTGCACAGATGGGTACAGGAGCAAGAAGTGCTGAACCCTTGCCAGCGGCTGCTCAGCAGCAGGGGAGAAGGGTGAGGGAAGGATTTGGAGAAGAGGTGGCTTTGAGGAGGGGTGCTCAGTGACCTGAAAGCAAGCAATGGCATCGTTCTCTGCTCACAGAATAGACACTCATGGAACAGCAGAAGAAAAGCGGAGCAGTACATAAACCAGTGCAAATTTAGCAACATATTATAAATACAAATGAAGAATGTGAACTCAATTACAGAACAATTCCAAACAAATCAGCAGCTGGTAATGCCAGTTTCTGTGGGGTTATTGCAATAATAAACAGCACATCACAATTTCATTATAGAGGCTTTGCGTGATTTCTTTTTAACAAGTATGCAGCTGTGTCAAAGAAACCAGATTTTGAAGCGCTATATAAGACACATTCAATTCTTTTTGTACTTAGGGATTTCTTTAAATGATATCTTACAAAATGTAAGTATTAACATAAAACCAGTTCTGACTACAACACTGAACTATGCTAACCCCCACACTTAAATTTCTCACTCCACATTCACAGAAAACACAAGCACAGCCTGGGCCAAATCTTCATGGAGCACAAATAGGTACTAATGATTTACATCAACACATAGAAAGGAAAGGTTTGCTTTCACATATGCAGATGAGATGTGCTCCAGATCATATGAAAATGCATGGGAATTTTAGCATTCATTTCAGTATGCATATGCTCATCCAACATTTTAGACAAAACACAAATCAGAATCTTACTAGATAAAGCTGTGAAAATATTAATTATATAATTGCCTACTTTCATGTCTTTAATGCTCTTCAGATATTACTTTTTCCACATTTTAATCAAAATATTGAACCCTTTAAAGTGTGAATGAGACCAAAAGTGAAGTGCTAAACTGAATTAGTTAAGTATGTATGTGTATACATATATATGTATATACGCACACACACACACACATACATAAGTGTACACGCACACACTTTCAGAGAAAACTACATAAAAATGAACAATGCCTGGAAACTCCTCTGTCATCTAAGTACAGAGTTTAAATTAGAATGAAAACTTGTACACAGGTCATCTCCATTTCTCATCTGTGTAATCCTACGGACCATGAATCACTGGAGTTAGGCTGAGCATGCGTGGAGCTCAGTTGTTGTGCACAAGAAGAAACAACCTTCACAATCTGCTAAATAATAACGTATATATCAAAGCTTTAATAAAGCATCAAATAAAGTAATAATTATGGCTGCCTCCGTCCTGAATGCAGAAAGGTCTCTAAGGAAAAGGTACATATACGTAGTCTGCTTGGACCGCTTGTCCACCAATTTAAGACATTTATCTGTAGATCACTTCTTGTTGATGTCAAAAATACAGTCTGCTTTCACATAATACCTACATGGACTTAAAGGATGACAGACTGAAGTCCAATACAATGTTTTTCAAGGAAATTCCCAGCCTTTTGAGCCATCAAATGGCTACAAAGTTAAGTGATAATGTTAGTCTTGGGAAGCAGAAGTTGTCCCCAGACTGAAGCCACTTCCTACTTTCCTACTTCAATACCACTTGCAGAGCAAACAAGCAAAGAAATAAGCATTTCTAGAAGTTATGTCCAAGTTAATCATACCTTCTTCCTAAGAAGCAGAACCTCTTACACGTCATCCTGAGGTAAAGTGACTTGTGCCTACCATGCTACCACCTGAACTTAAAAATTAAGTGTAATTTATGAAACATCCCTGCCGCCCCTGCCTAATTAGACATTTATAACAACAAAACTAAAAACAAGTGGTCACTGGCTGCAGAAAGTGATTCTGATGAACCATGTAGGACCTTGTTTTCCATCTCCTTACACTATACTCACTGCAGTTTCCACCTAAGGCTTTTACTGAGAGGCAGTAATAATGTATTGACATTTTGGTTTGTAAGGATTTTGCGGCAGGACTTAACCCAGCTCTTTAGGTACAGTACAAATGTATGTCAGCACTAGTCTAGCGGGAAGGGGCTGGAGGGGAAAGGGTTGGAAGTACCTACTGAGGCCAAAATGGCTGCTAGGAAGGATACGATCAGTGCCAGGAAACAACACAGCACCTTTAATCATTTCTCCCATGATGCACCCTACTGACCACATGTCAACTGAAAACAAAAATGAAATGAAGGTAAACAAGAAAACAGGAACAGAACAACAAATAAATGAGAAGACTTATCTAATCATGCTGTAGCACAGACCCTGCAGCCCACACCGCAGACACAGACCTGCCTTTCACTCCCTGCAGATGCTTTTCTGCTTGAGCGTACAAGTTTCATGACAGCATAGCAGGTCTGAGAAAAATCAGCCCCAATGTTTTCTTTACCCCAGTGTGGATGAAAGACAGTACTATTAAATACCGAAAACCAAGCGAGACCCACGGCTGGCTACTGTGTCATAATACAACTTTGTAATTAAAATTTACCAATTAATTTTGTCTTTTTAAAGTTTTCATTTGCATTCATTACCTAGCTTTATACTGCTTTGTATTGTAAATGAATGCTGGTCTCTGTATTCAATGAGGATATGCAAATTGCTTTTCCTTTATCCTTTCAGTTACCAGAGATCCATGCATATTTTCACAAGCTGAACTGCCAGAAGCCACAAAAGGAACTTGGGTCCTTGTGAAGACATTATCCACCTCTTATTCAGGGGTTTGAATAGAATTTGTTGAGGTCATTCGACTCCAATAACGCTTGCTTTAGAGCCTGTTGGCTCACTTCGATTGAATCTCCATGAAGCCAGCAGCCCATAATAGGGGTCTTGAGAATCTCGCAAGATTTCCATTTGCCATGATAGGAAATGGTGATTTCTAAATAAGGTAGTTGAGACACAGAAGCACTAAGCTGTACCTTCTGCATTGGAATTCAGAGCAAACTGGGGCACTATTTACCTCATACAGAGAAGAAGCAGTTCAGCTGGGTCAAACAAAGCTAACCACAATTTACACTGGAAAACGAGATGAAAATCAGACTCCTTATATCCAGTACGGGATTAAGGTGATGTTTTCCCCTGTACGAATACCATGAAACCACATTACCTCTGCTGTCCTTGCTCTATGACAAGTCATAGGGCATGGAAGCAAAAAAATGGACAGACTGGTCTCTCAGGGCCAGAAACTGTGGGGAAAAACCTGAAAGCATCATGCTGCTTGGTTAAATTTACTCTTACAATTTCATACCGAGCAACAGTTTAAAGTGGATTTGACTTTGAAGGCAAATGTCCTGCCTGTGGAAATCTTTACATGCCTGGGTCTAAGGTTCCCTGTTGCTTTATTTAGCATATGAAAAGCTACATCACTACACAATAAATAAATCAAAAAACAAACAGACAAATAAATAAAAGGCTACTTGTTTGGAAGCAATAAGCAAACCTAGAGATGCAAATTATTGCTGCTTTTATCACAAGCTAAATGGCATGCAAAATATCAGGAAAAGATAGAGCAAGCAGTTGTTTGTTCATCTGTTATTAATTCCTTTTTATTTTCAGAGGCGGCCTTCTGACATTACTGCTCTATGCTGTGCTCAAGAGCACACACATAGAAGTTGAACTAGTGACTTACTAAACTGTAAACTGTGTAAAGCAGAGATGATTATTCACCTCTACTCCTGAGGTTTTAGGAAGGAAGCTCTTTGAGGATTTCCAAATCAGACAGAGCAAAGATGAACATCTGAATATAACCTATGTCTGAAGAGAAAAAAAAGGTGCCTTCTTGACTGCTGCCTCTTGTTCCTCTCCTGAGCCAATTAGAAATAAGTCAAATTAGAACCCAGAGTTTCACTGCATGTTTAAGAAAAGTGGTTAGTTGGAGGTTAGGCATTTCAGCATATACAGCAGCAGCTGTCAGAAGCCCCAGTTAAGGCACTGAGACTCGTGCAAAGCTCCATAAGGGACTGTAGTACAGAGACCTAAGCCTTGATCTTCAGTTTCATTTAGTCCAACATCAATCCAGATGCAGTCTGAGTAATTTCAGACATACAAGCATCAGAAAAACCACAATCTCTAAACATTTGCACTCAACTCCAAAGCACCGAAAATTTACATTTGGTTTGAGATTTTTTCCAAATTGAAGATATTCACAAAGACTGGCAATGCTCCACCAACACGTGAAATATCCCTAAGCTTTAATCAAATGCAGACTAACTTATAGTCACAGAGACCTCTGCGTGACTCTAGGTAAAACTTCAGTTTAGCAACTATTTGCCTTGATGTTTTAGGAGCACATGGAACAGTATTAAGGAATTAAACCTACAACTTTTCACAACTCTCTGAACTGAAATTGCTGAGATTTGGGTAGCCCTTGGTGAGAAGCCCCCTCTCCATTAGAATACCTCTGTCCTGGATTATTAAGAGTAGGGGATTTTTAATTTGTTCAAAATCTCTACAGAGCAGATTATTGCACAGAGCTGCTCTGAAATGCATTCTTGAGTGTGTACATATGCTTCAAAATATAAGTAAGTTTTCCAAGGACACCAAATGTCTCGCTGGCATAGCCACCTTGCATAAATGCCCACCACAAATCACGTGTGTTCTCCTCAACAGAGGAAATATTTCACTCATACAGCAAATCTTAACCTCTGAGCCACCTCCTGGTTCTGATTCCATGCCAAACAGTTAAGAAATACCCTCTACAGTGATTGTGTCAGGGCTGTCCTGCAAAATGTTTGGGGAATGAATCTGTCCTCCACAGGAACCTCCAAAATCTCCCTGGGGTCTTAAATAGAGCTTGGGGAGGGTGAACAGAAGTTGGTCTGTTGCCACAAACACATGCCCCCTGCCCCCCAAAGCTTCCTGTGTCCTGGGGAAGCAGTCTGGTCTGGCTGCTGACATGGCCCTTCACAGGAAAGGTGACCAGAAGAGATGGTGAGGAGAGAAGGGAGAGTTGGGATGGAATAATATTAAGACATTTATTCCTCTTTGTGCTTTAGTCTCATGCACTTCCTGACCCAAATGAGTGCGTGCTCATCCTCCCAGGTTTCAGATTCCCTTCAGCAAAATTGCAGAAGGATCAGGAACTGTAGAACTAGACAAAGATGTTACTATATGGAAAGGATCCAAGCTGACCTTCCATGGACACCTCCCTCGTAACTTGGCTGTGGATGCAATTTCCCTTTCTGTTTCTGCAGAAGGCTGCTCCTACAATGCTGGATGAATTGGAAAAAGCATTGGTGTCACTCTGATACTGAAGACACCACAGCTCTTTTCCTTCCTCATTCCTTCACAGTGGCCCTGCATTCACCTCCTGTCAAACTGCAGGTTCTCTGGGACTTGACAAAACACAACGAAAGGGACCCCATAAGAAAAACAACTGCCCTTGATAAAACTCCTACTGAGGCTCTGCAGACTTGCACTCAGTAAGCTCTGGTTTTCATTCAATGAAAATCATGACAGTCAAATTAAAATTCATGAAATGCATGCCAAGGGAAACTCTGGAGACCAGAGATGCTGGCGCAGCTGAATAAGCTTTGCTATCTTTCCCAACCTCATGGGCTAGTTCACACTTTCTCTCTCTGCCCAGAGCATTAGTGAGAATGCCAAACATTCACATTTGTAATAGCTGCTGTTTTAGTGATGCAGAAATCACCCCTCTGCAAGCCGAAAAGAGATGATCATGTCCTCAGAACTGACTTGGGAAGACTAGGATGGACATATTTATCAAGCAAATCATGATACCTGATTTTATTTGTGTTAACTGTAGGCCGAAATATTTAGCACGCAATGCTGTTGCTCAATGGCTGAGGTGCAAACTCCAGTAAATTTCAAGGCAACTGAGCATGCCTGTCACAACAGTGAGCTTCTCTCTCCAAATTCTCCTAAGATGGAAGGACACTTTGCTGGGTGGGACCTCCCTTTACCTCCATCTCTGTTGTTGAGTGCTTCTGCAGATCTGCACTGAGGTCTGCTCTGAAGAACCATCTCCAGGCCCTTACTTGAATTTTCAAGGAAGAAAAATACAGCAGTCTGTAATGGACACTGGACCTTGTTTTTACAGGTTTTTCTGTTATTTCTATGCAATAAAAAAATGACATGGTTTATAAAAATACTTAGTAATTCTTGGTAATACACAGGCAAATCTGCTTTTTTCCATAAATTCCAGATAGCACAGATACAAAGGCTTCCGAATGCCAATGTCAAGGAAAGTTTGTGATGCGCACCACTCCTAATGACAATCGTGAACATGGCTCAAACACTTAAAAGAGATTAGAAGCCTCCCAAACCCACCAAACCCTTCCCTCCCTCAATTCTGTCTAAATCATGGCAAACTCCCAGTTTTGCGACATTCCAATCTCAGGAATATTTTGATATTTGAGATATCAAAAACCTTCCCTTCATGCTTGTATTTATTATACGTGTGGATTTCAAAGTGTTTTAACAAGTGCACAGCACAGTATCAGCTCAATCCATTAAGATTTCCCGAGAAGGTCTTTCCTTTCTAATTTGAAACACCACTTTCCACGTGATGTTATTAAAACCTTAAAATTTCTCAATAACAGTAATAGGGTTCCAAAGTGTTTGAATATTGCATTTCTACCTGCAACCAAAGCTGCAAAACACTGCAGAGTATACCTACTCTCCTGACAGATTCTAGATGGCCTGAAAAGGAGTTGCCACAATTTTACAAGTGTGGTGCTTCAAATCAATGTATGAATTTCTCTCTCTCTTTTTTTTTTTTTAAACTTTTTGTGAGTTCCAAACTGATATGCATCGTGCCTTCTTTTGACACAGCTTAACCATCACTCTCTGGGATTCAGACTAACAGATGCCCACCTTCCTTTGGCACAGGCAGAACTGATCTGCAGTAGACAGGCAGGTGCCAGAACCTAGCCCACCTGGAAAAATACAGAAGGAGGTACGAATCGCATCCAAATCTGTGCTCTTCCTCAGAGGCTGGCTCTTAGGTTGCAGTGCCAAACGTGCTGAAAAACTATTGTTTTTCCTTGGGAACTCGTGCTCCACCATCCCTTTCAGAACAACAGAGCTTGCAGAGGGACTGGAAGGGATGTCACAGGATATCAAAAGGCATAGGTATATTAAGAAAAGGGCATAGGAATCCTGAGATGCAAGCTCAAGAATGAGTGGAGGCATGAGGAATGACTCATAGAATCATAGAATGCTTTTGGTTGGAAGGGATCTTTAGAGATCATCTAGCCCACCCCCCCTGCAGTGAGCAGGGACAGCTTTAACTACATTAGCTTGCTCAGAGCCCCAGCCAACCTGACCTTCAATGTTGCCAG